TGGATCATGTCATGTGGATCATGACACTTTGGGCCTTAACCTTTTCCTTGTCTCGTGGTTACTGTAGCTAACAGTGCAGTGGTGTAGAGAAGCGTGGGGTGGGCATCTTTCCTCTGTTCCTCACTGCAGAAAGAATGCTCCTTGTTCATTCTCCTCGATTTCTCTCAGTGACTGAGTTTGAACAAATGAGTTCATGCCTCTTACACAAGATCACCTCGACCCGGCATGTCCACTCTCCCACCTTTCGCTATAACCTTGGAGATTCTGTGCAGATGTGTGCCAGTCCCCATGTGCTTCACCCAACTCTCCAGGAGCTCCGGCCAACTCTAACAGAACTTCTGTTATTTTTTTCAAGACAGGGATTCTCTGTGTAACAGTCCTGGCTGTCCTGGAACTCACTTTGTAGACTAGGATGGCTTTGAACTCACAGAGATCTGCCTACCTCTGCCTCCCAAATGCTGGGATCAAAGGAGTGCACCCCCATGCCCAGCCACCTCTTGTTATTTTAAGGAAAATAATTATTAAACAAATTTTGGCATCAAACAGCAATTGTTAGTTTTATTTCTTGATACTTTAAAGTATATTATTTGAATATAAGCAGTCAAATACATGGGTTTTTATATTAACATTTTATCTCTACAAATATTATTCTAGAAAATGTATAAGTGACTTTATTCTAACATGCCACTTTATGAGTGTATTTTAATCATCATTATTTTGTTTTTGTATACAAGCTTCCTCTTCTTCAGAAATATCTGGTAGGCAACTCTTTTTTTTTTTTTTTTAATAAAACAAGTATTTACTTTAAAACTTTCTACTCAGTAATTTGCAAATTTTTATTATTCTCATAGTTTGATTTTATTATTTTGGTTTAATAAAATATCTTTGTAATGAAGGAGATGATTTGTTTAATTTGTTTGGAATTTTGTAAGATCACCATACAGGTATTACAGTCTCTGTGATAATTTACAGATAATAAATATAACACCATGAAATGGAAGGTTGTAGTAGATAGAGGACAGAAGACACGTGAATGTATGTCGCTTAGGATTATGCAGGTTGATGGGTGGCTTTTGAAAAGATATAATGATATAATTTAGTAATTTAGTACTGTAGTTGCACATTTGACCCAGGAAGCTTGTAGTCTGTTGCTTCTGTCTTCTAATGTCCTTGGACTGAAAGTGGTCCTTTCACTGTGCAATGGGGGAGATGAAGTGCTTCCCCTTAGAGACTCTAATAAATCTACACACTCTGCACATGAGATGCCCATGATAGCATCTAACCGTTAGGCCTTGGCACAGTGTGACTCACATTGTGTCATGATAGATAAGCATCCATCAAGTTCATCTAACAACGCCTTGTGGATTTGCTCAGTGTCACCCTTGAAACATTCTTGTTCGTTGTAGAGCTACATGATTGCATGGGTAAAATTATGCCGTACTTGAAGTTTTCTGTTTAAAATGAGCTTTAATCTGACTTTGAAGTTGTGGCTTGCTTTCAAGTAATATGTAAAAGCACCAGTATTGGGGGGGAGGAAGAGTGGTAAGAAATGAGTATATTTTCATATTTTTTCTGTTTTTTGTGGAAATGCATGAAACCTGTCTCTTGTTGCACCTTCCTTCATCCCTTGGCTAGTAATGAATAAAGAGAACAAACCCTGGATGAATATAGAGATTCCTTTGGTATGCTCTTTTAGACTGCAACGTGATAGACTCTAGAAATGACAAAAGCCAAAGAGAAAATCATTTAATGTGGATAATAAGTAAAATTGTGTGTAAATTGAGGTTTGGTGTGCCCTTTTTTGTACATGGTTTGCTCCATTATTAAACAATACAGAACAAAATACACTTGCAGAAAACCCTTCCTTGAAGTGTTATTCCTAAGAGTAGTAGGTAGACATTGTTTGAGGTTTTGCTGAAGATTCCTGTGATCACACAGCTAGAGAGCTATTGCTATTGTGTACCAGGTTCCCACATTGTATCAGCCTGTCACACTGGTTCAAAGGGCTACTGTCTACAAGGATCATATATTAGAACAGAAGAAAACTGAACATTGAGACCCTCACTGTGCTTGCTCTATTACCTTGAATTGAATGAGGAACAGTGTGTGGGTCTACCTATCTTCCCCAACTCTCATTTTGTTTCCTATTAATATGTCAGAGGGAACAATTTGAAAATACCTATTGTTAGTATTAGGCATCTGTGCTGGCCTGTCCTTGGGGTTCTGACAGGATACACCCTCAGCTGTAGCCATTAGGAGCACGGTCTGTGCAGTCACTATGTTCCCTTTTCAAAGGGCCCTGCCTACCTCCCATCATTCTCTCTCTCTTTCTGTCTCTCTCTCTTCCCCTTCCTTCCTCTCTTCTATCTCCAGAGACTGATTTCCCCTCCCCTTCCCCCTTTTATGATCTTTTTCCCTATTTTAAAAAAATAAAAACCTCTGCTTGAACCCTGTCGCATGGCATCTTTCTCTTAAATCACAACACCTACAGAAAAACAGAAGTTAAATCCACCCATATCTGAAAATAATAAAATCCATGGCAAATACATGTGGTTCTGCATTGTCTGTTCTTTAAATATATAAAATATTTTAGTTATATAGATATAGATATACATACATACATAGCAACTACTTTATTGAGAGCTGACTATATTTGTCTTTGCTTCTAAATAGTGCACATGCATCCTAGAGATTACATGTTTTTACAGATTGAATATGACAAAAGCATGTTTCGGGAACAGAGTTTTCTTCATGGTATTATTTGATGATGATATAACTAATGCATCCTTAATTCTAAAGGGAAATGCCTTTCTATGTTTAAATGTTACTGAAACTTAATATTTTTATCTGCACCTATTGGTAATAGTTTTCCCATGAAACTTTTCTGAGCTGTTTGCTCCTTCCAGTATGACTTGTCAGTGAACTCAGAATACTGTTGAGTGCGGAGAATATTTCAAAGATCAGATTACTGAAGAATATTGAGGAGCATCAGAAGTCTTTCTCACAGCTCATCACCAGAAGAGGAAACTTGTCTTTGAGCAGAAACCTTTGTCATACACTCCCACTGCCTACCAGTCACTTTCCTTTCCTTCAGATCTGCTCACAGTTGGCATGACAGGAGCTGCAGCAGGACACTCAAGGGTCCCTCCCCACTCTGTCTGAAGTCATGCACAACAACTTGTATATATACATGAGAAAAAATCAAATTTTCAGAATCTCCAAGTGTGGTCTCTGAGAAGCCACAGTTGTATGTTCCAACATACTTTGTATTTAATTTAACTTACAGCCATCATTTCCAAGTCATGGCCATATGCAGACATTGCTATTCCATGAAAAAAAAAATCAAATAAAACCAGCTTTCTTGAACCTAGGATGAAGCTCATTAGTAGAGTACCTGCCAATTATGTGTTCCTGGGTTGGAGATCTGGAGCTTGAACAAAACAAATCAAACCTCTTCAGCTGCAACTAGTATACTCACTTTCCAATATACTATAATTCAAAACCTCTTGACTTTTCCAGTCCTAGATTGAATTAGGTGCAACAATTCATTTACGGTTGTGGTACATGAGGATCCTAACTTTGGAAGTTAATTGTTTATGTTTTATAATAGATGTTTTGGAAATACTGTATAATATAGTTCTTAGAAAATAGTAAGATTATATTCCTAGAAATGTATAAACCAGTGTTCTTTTAATACAAGTCTCTACCACTGATGTATGTCATCATCATATTGAAATGTCAAAAACGGTTAGAATGTCAAGCGCCATTTTGGTTTGTGCTGGGCCAAAGGTATACTGTAGAAAACATGAAAGACTAATTTGGGTTCCCATTCCAGACCTCTGTTTTGTTCTATTTTGGTTTTTGTTGTGGTAGTTTTGTTGTTGTTTGCTTGAGACAGAACCCTCTCCCTGTAGACTAGATTTGCCTGGGACTCACAGTGTAGCCCAGGCTTAGTCTGAACATACCACAGTGCACCTGCCCCAGCCTTCGTTATGCTGGGATTATAGACCCGATAACCATGTCCAGCATAAGTGTTGCTTTAGTCCAGGCCACTCATTGTTTCTCAAGTCTTCCCCATCATCCGACTGTTGCCATGGCTTCCAGTCCTACTCTATCCATAGTCCTCCATAGAGCCAGACAGGGAAGTGTCAGGAATCTGCTGAGCAAAAGAGAAATAGTAAAGGAATCTTGTATAATCCAATTGTATTTTCACTTTTCATACAAAACATACAACTATATCAAAATTCTTAAAAAAAATGTTTACCATTATTTGTTTCTAAAATATCAAAATTTGTTTTAAAAACAGAAGCCCTTGTTAGTAAATTTGTGGGAAGAGTGTGTAAACAGGGCATGCTCTAAAATAACTCATCTTTTGTAACAAATCTAACAATATAAACCACAGCTCCGTAAAAATACAGCTGTTATTAGCCATTATGTTAACACTGGCTTTTGTTTGGCTTTATTTTAATGTAAATTTTAAATTAGACATTAATTTTCGCAACAAGTTCAAAGCTTGTTTTTAAAGTAGTGTGTATTGTTAGTGGTGTTTTGTTCCATTTGGGTTTTATTGGTTTGTGGATCCTGTAGCTGTTAGTCTGTGGTTTCTCCTTTGCTCTCCGCTGGTAGAGACCACAGGTCTAAAGCACAAATCCTCTACCTGGGACTTCCCTTTACCAAAGCCTATTGTTCTCAAAACTCCATACCAAGACATACAAATACCCTCAGCCTGTGTTTCAGACTCTGTAATACCATTTCCAGCTTATTAGAAGTCACAATTTTGTCCTTGATTGATGTCTTTTACAAGACTTTAAAATATGTTTTCTGGGACATTGTTACTAGGCTTGAAGTTATTGGAGGCGCTCAGTAACTCCCTGTGATGTCACATGGTGGGCACACTTGTCCTGGCAAGGGCACCTATGTCCATAGCGCCACATAGCATGCTCTCCTTCAACATGAAGTAAGCATCCTTACCAGACACCATCTGTTTTCCTCTTTTCCAGTGAAAGAATTTCTAGCCAAAGCCAAAGAAGACTTCCTGAGGAAATGGGAGAACCCTCCCCCGGTAAGGAATCTGTATGTTTCCCACCACTGGAGATGCCTCTGTTAAACAATTCACAATTCTTGCTTATCTTATTGTTACTCTAGAAAGTTTAGTTTTTAAGTGTTATCAGTAAACATATTATACTGTCTATTGTGGGAATTCTACCCTAATGCTGTGATGTCATGGGTTAATTGAAAATCTTATAGACACCTCCATTGAAGAAGCAACCAGCTTGTCATAGAATCCCTAAAGGGCAGAGAAGTGGTGGTTGTTATTTTGTTTCTTGGCACAGTCCTGTGAATTGAATGTAGGGTCTCACATATCCTAGGCAAATTCTCTACACCACGCTCTGTGTCATGATTGTCTGTAAATGTTGATACTAATTCCAAATCGCTGTGACGGAAGCGCAGTGTTTTCTGAAGTACTAATTTCCAGTTATCCAAGTTGTCACGTGACATACTAGAAAGAGCACAAGGAAGGGGGCATTCTTCTATTATATGAAGAAGAGCAATGGTCAAACATAAAGAGGTGTCCTGTGGCACACTTTTTGGTCTTACTGCTTGAAGGTGACTATATTAACCTTTGCAACCCCCTGTGTCAGTGAAGTCAGAAATTAGATGTAAAGCTATAAAGTTAATTCAATCAGCATTGTAAAGACTTTTCTCCTTTGGTCATCCCACAAATGTGAAATGACCAATATCATACAGTTTTATAAGCAAAATGTCATACTGCTTTCCTCTGTAATGATGCAGTAAGACACCAGGGTGTGTCTCTGAAGCAGCATTACTTTACTGTGGAGATTAAGTTGCTGTGTGTACTGAAGCTGTCTGATCTGTCACGTATAGAGGAACCATGACCATACTGGGTTTTGCTCAAGCTGCACACTGCAGATTGAGCCTTGAAAATATTTTTCTGATGTTTTCATGAGTATCTTCATAATAAAACCTATTAAACAGATGGGTCAGCAATTACTACTTGTTGCTAGTACCTAATTTGTTCCCAGTAATTTTCTTGTTGTGATGGCAGCAACACATTGAGTGGATTGATGCCTCTAATTCTTCGGTCCTATGCATTAGTCAAAGCCAAACAAAGATGTGTGCTTATAACAAAACAGCTATTCAAGGGGGGAAAGAATCTGACTATTGTTCTGAGACTTCAGCTTCGGTTCTTTGTGGGAAGAAGACTCCGCTCCTTCCTGTTTTAGGTAATGCTAGGTTATTATGTCACCAAGGAGAATGCCTGGGACTGCACCGTTTTGAGGACATTGCCTAGTTCTGGCTGTTCCCAAGTGCTAAGGCCGTTATCTAGTTTTACAGGTCTGTACAGTTCTATGGCTCTTCTTACTTCTGTGGCTGATGGCTGGTTCTTTGCCTGTCATCTAGTTCTGTAACTACATACAAAGACACATAGAACCCCACTTTCCTCGGAGGCATGAAAGCTGATCTCTCACTTTTCATTTTGTACAGTTATTTACAGGTGTTCTGTGTCCATATACATCATTTGACTGTGAGTTTGTAATTCTTAAAATGTACACATAGTTCATTAGCTGTGTTAGGAATTCACAGTGCAGTTGAAATATGACCATTAATGTTTTTGCCAAGGCTTTTATTTCCTTCAGTGTTTTATACTCCATTTTATAAAATTATCCCCTATTATTGAACTTTTGTTACTCAATGGAGAATATAGGATGAAAATAACCTGAAATATGAAGAGTCTATATGTGTTGTTTCTACACGGATAAGCTACATTTAAATTTCTCACTATGATATATAACACTGAATGATGATAATTGTAGTCCTGTGGGAATTTCTAATTTAAAAGTTTGTTGTATTATTATTTTCTAAATACTTGTATAGAGCAATGCTGGGCTCGAAGATTTTGAAAGGAAAAAAACCCTTGGAACGGGTTCTTTTGGAAGAGTCATGCTTGTAAAGCATAAAGCCACTGAACAGTACTACGCCATGAAGATCTTAGACAAGCAGAAGGTGGGTGTCCTGGTACCCTACTCCCTCTTCTTTAAAGCAGTTCATTGTGGCTGTAATGTGTGGCTGATGTAGGTCATTGCGATGCTTGTTGATAACATATGTCTGTGCACACTAACAAAATGCAGAGTTCCATCTGTGCAGAGCAAGCCCCAATTATACTGCGTACACGGACTGATGAACACAAACTTAGTGACATTAGTTACTGTTACATTAATTTATAGCCGAAACTTCTATGCTTGATATAACTGAGTTTGGTCTATTTAAAATATCAATTAAGTTATGGAAAACTGTAAAACCTGTATTATACATAAAACAACTTTTAATTGTCTCTATTTCAATATGATAAACCAGGACATCTGAAGTATTTAATACCTTAAATAGTGAGCATTGTTTTTGGATTCCTAGCTAACAGTTTAGGGACAGACATGGGTAAATATTGCTATCTTACTCAGGTGTTACCTGACAGAGACTGACTTCTTGGTCTGTTGGGATCCAGGTAGAAATCTGGTGGCATCATAGTGGGGAAGTAGCCAGGGGACAGACGTGATGGAGAAACTGTCCTATGGGGATATAATGCCAGGGGACAGATGTGGCAAGGGAACTTGGTCCTTGCCAATATGGCAGTATAAAGAAGCTGTACTTGTGGCTCTACATTACCTAGTAGCCACACTTTAAGAAATAAAATCTGATGTAATTAATAGCCCAGTGTGTAGTGCTTAACTGGGGTTCATACCAAGTCTTCAAAATCTATTGTGTATTTTACATTTTGATTAGCCACATTTTAAATGTTGAATAACCACCATCGCATCAGACTGTTCCAACCTTCATTTTATTGGAAACCAGATTCATCTTTCACATGAACAGGGAATAATGACCTAAGTGCCTCTAAAATTAAAGATGCGGTACATACATTTATCTGAACATCTTTGGCAGCCGCTCTCACTCACAGATTTTCTAACTGTTCTTCTTGGAGCAGTGGTCTCACTAACTCACCTCTTGTTGGCTCTCACCCTGCCCATCCATCCCCTGCCTCTCACTGCACTCACTGCAGGGCTCTGTCAAGGACCACCACACCCATGCCCAAACCACCAGCGCCAGGGCATGCTGCTCCTCCCATGTGCCTTTTCCTCTCTCTGTTTGCATATGACTGCAATAGCCTTTCCTCCTAACACGGCCCTGCCCCAGCCCATGGAAATAGCATTCTCCTGACCCCCTGCTTCTCTGGTCTTCCTTTTGTACCTTTCCCATTTCATTGTGTTTACACACACACACACACACACACACTCATATACACACACACATACACACACATTACTCATATACAAACTCATACACACCAACACACTCATACACACTCACACACTCAAACACACTCACACACTCAAACACATACACAGACACATTCACACTAATACACACACTCATACACACACAAACACACTCATATACACACATACACATACTCATACACACATACATACACACACACACACACTCATATACACACACACATACACACACATTACTCATATACAAACTCATACACACTCACACACTCAAACACATACACAGACACACTCACACTAATACACACACTCATACACACACAAACACTCATATACACACTAATACACATACTCATACACACATACATACACTCATACACACACTCATACACACACATACACACACATTACTCATATACAAACTCATACACACCAACACACTCATACACACTCACACACTCAAACACATACACAGACACACTCACACTAATACACACACTCATACACACACAAACACACTCATATACACACATACACACACTAATACACATACTCATACACTCATACACACACTCACACTCATACACACACACACACACACACACACACACATTTGGTTATTTCACATTTTTCCACATATATTCTTATCCAGCAACTTCCACCCTTCCTGGGATTTTGTTCCTATGCTGTGCAGTCTGAGCAGGCAGCTTTTGCAGGTCATTTAATTCCTGTCTTGGTTCTGTGGATGACATTAACGGATCTCGTGCTGGTGACAAAAAGACAAGAGACTTTTATTTCATCTTGTATTTGTAAACCTGCTATTACAGTATTTATTACATGTTCTCAAGATAGCTTCTAAGGGTATGTCATCTTTCTTAAAGAATTATGAAATGCTTCACTTCAAAAATATTGAGAAGATAGTGGTATTTACCATCTTAAAATATTTGGAAAGATATTTTTAGCTTCTAGAAACATATTGAGCAAATACCTAAGTGGCTACCTCATGGATAAGTCATGGTAATGGATATTTTTCAGGAGAATAACTAGAATTTCATGTAATTTCTGTTAGTGCAGACTGTTGAATCTTGACATAAATTAACATGAAAGATGTTATATCCTTACTTCTGTTTATTTAATTTGTATGAGGTAATAAAATAACAGGCCATAATAACTCTGTCAGTAAGTTCATACAAATAATTCAGTTAGGTAATCTTAACTTCTCCAATTTTAGTGTACAAGGGGGAATCAATACCAAGATTAAAGAGATCCCATTACTACAATGTGTCCAATATTACTAGGCTATTACACATGTGGGCAGAGACAAACACATACATACACATGTGCAAATATATGGGTCTGCACATATACACACTTGTAATGTATGCGCGCCTGTGGTATCGGTGAGTCTTCACAAATGCGTGCGCATTGATTGGTCTCCCTTTTAAGCTAACCACCTCTCAATTTCTTCAGTGTGTGACAGCTAGAGAGTTAAACCCATGTGTTAGCCAAGGTTTATCTGATTTCTGTGCCTTATTCCTCCTTAATTTTCCCTTCAAAATGCACCTTATCTCCAGGATCCTTTCTTCCAGCCCCTTCTCTGATGACCAGTTGACTTTAGTAGCACCACGATTCCCAAAATCCCAGACTTTTTACTTCTACTTTTCTTCCTCTCTGACCAAATGCTTCCTTACGATCTCATCGCATTTCTCTGACTCATCGGAAAGTTTCTGACATTTATTAAACGAAGACAGAGTTCATCTTATTCCTCCTACTTCCTAACATGCCATAATTGCTTCCCAAAATCCACCGGAGCCTCTTACCCCATGCTGTCTGTGCATGGTCTGTATCTGCTTCTCTGGCTTGAAAGCTGATACACAAAAGGGTTCTGGGATTTTCTGGGGGAGGGACTGCTGTTCAGCTTGTCTCGTTTATTAATAACTTTTGTTTTACTTGAAAGAACCAGCTGGTGATCTGGCAGTCCTCTCATACCAGGGTATTTAAGCTGGCATCATCATATTAAATGTGAATATAAACTTTAAGTGAATTTTCAAGATAAAATATGAACTGTATCCCAAAGGATATTTGTAAAATTATCTCTGCCACATTCTTTACCAAGTTTTCAGAAGTGCTATCTTTTTTTTTTTATTATTTACTTATTTTTCTTATTTTACATATCGACCCCAGTTCCCTTTCCATCCCTCCCTCCCTCTCTTCCACCCTCCCATCCCCCTCCCCCAATCCACATGTAGGGTGGTGCCTTCCAGGAGGGGTCACCTAAATTTGTCAAGTCATTTGGAGTAGGGCCTAGGCCCTCCCTCCTGCCTCTAGGCTAAGGGAGCATCCCTTAACCATAGCTAAATGAAACCAGGGCTCTTGCCTCTGTGTGTTTCCCCCTTTAGGACTGGTTTTGGGGTTTAGCCTCTACCCAGCTTTCCCTTCCATCTCTTCTGAGCCTTTATTATCGGTCCGTCTTTTAAACTCAGCCCACCCCTCACCTCTTTAGACAAATTAAACTAACAGATGTCTGCTTCCGAGCTGTTACTGTTGTGTGCCCAATCCGGAATGTTTGATAGAAAGATTGTATTTCTTCCATGTTCTGCTCTGTGGCTATGTAAATTGAATTTTTAGATTTTAACTGTATTTCTTCAAGTACAGTTTGAACAGCTTACTCACTTTTGCCCACTCTTTTGGCTTTTCCTTCATCCTTAATTTCATTCTGTTTACTGATAAGTGATTTGGTCATGTCATTAGCAGCAAATATCTTCACATAATAACTTTTACAGCAATCTTATAGATCTATTTTTTGTTCCCACTTAAGTTTTTCTTAACTTGATTTATAGCTGACTTTGGGGTAGGGGAGCCAGTCTCACACTGTGTAGCCTAGGCTAGCCTTGAACTTACAGTAGTCTTAGTGTTGGGATAAGTGACCTGCATCACCACAGCTGAAGACCAAGGCTGGAATTCTCTGTTAGGCTGTCAAAAGTAGAAGCTTAGCACTCTGGTTGATTATTTTCTTTTTATTGAAGCCTAGTAATTCTGCTTATCCATTGGGATTATTGTATGGAAACCTTTCTCTTTAAAATGATAATGTCTTTTAAATCTGTTTTCCACTTACAGGTGGTTAAGCTGAAGCAAATAGAGCATACTTTGAATGAGAAAAGAATACTACAGGCAGTGGAGTTTCCCTTCCTTGTCCGACTGGAGTATTCTTTTAAGGTCAGTTGCTCTGCTGTCTAGATGTGCTGTTGACGTAATGGTGACAGGGTTCCAGTGAAGTGGTAAACCACGATGGTGGCCACGTGCTCGCCATGCCTATCAACTCTGGGGATTGGGGTGATGGGGGCGGGGAGTTCTGCTTCACCCTGGAGTAGCTGTTGATGAGGACCTGTGTGCTTTTCACGGAAGGCAACACAAAACCAAGTATTACAGTGATGCAGACACCCTAGGAGGTCTTACGCTCCGTGTAAATGTAGATGCTGAACACACTTTCTACATGGTTTAAACCCTTCCTGTTGTGACCTGGACCTGGACGCTTCATGTAGTAATTTGTATCTGGCTTTTTGTGGTTTGGGTTTTCGCTGTTGTTATTTTGCACCAGGAGAGCCACCTCTGTGCTGTGCTCATGACTCAGATGAATTGGGGAGGGTTGGCCCTGCTGAATCATGGGCAGTATTTGCCTGTGCTTAGTTCTTTGTTCTTTAAATCCAATAAAGCCTTATATACTTAAATATTAAAGCCATCCATCTTGAAAGCATAAGATGAAAATATTCTTATTAGCGTTTCCAAATTGTTTTTTAACTTTGTTACTCCTTTGCATGAGCTGTGCTACTGTGCCATTGCTCCAGTGTTTCATTGTTTTGAAGTTAAATGTCCCCTGCAACAACAGAACAGCAAAAGTCCCAGGCTTCTTCTGGGATACTAAGGGAGTGGAGATGAGTGTGGAGAGGCCAGAACACTTTTTAGTAATATCTTTCCCCCTCAAATTTTTGATCTGTCAAATGGATTTTACTTTTTCCTTTCTAATTTAACATGGTGTCATCCTAAAATGTTTCTTACTAGACTTTATAGTTGGTACTTGTTTGTTATTTGTTCATAGGATAATTCTAATTTATACATGGTTATGGAGTATGTTCCTGGCGGCGAAATGTTTTCTCATCTAAGAAGAATTGGAAGGTTCAGGTAACTGTTGCTCCTGACTTCTTTCCATGTTTGTGTTTACTTTAAACCAGAATACCCTGGAATTTATTAACCCGTATTTTATCCATAGAAAAGTATTAGGTAGAAACTTCGATAGAAGGCCATGCCATATATGAGCTTTAAAATCCAAATCAGAATGCAGTGAAATCAATTTAAATATTCTACCATTGCTAAGTATTATGAGATGGCTTGAAGAGTTTCCAACAAAAAAATACAAAAATTAAATTTTAAAATACCAACATGTACTGAGTAAATAATAGCATTTGAGACATATGATAATATATGCTATGCAACTTATAATATTTAATGGCAATAGCATTTATGGTAGAAATTTGGATGTAAGTGAATATAAGAAAAGAGATATAAAAATAATAGTGATACAGCACTCGGGAGGAAGAAGCAGGTGGATCTCTGTGAGTTGAAGGCCAGACTGGTCTACAGAGTGAGTTCCAGGACAGCTAGGGCTGCACAGAGAAACCCTGCCTCAAAAAGCTAAATAAATAAATGTTATATTGTGGCGAAATTATATTACAAAGTCTTCTACAGTTTAATTAAAGTCTTTGTTACCTTCAGTTTCTTGAATAAGTACACAACTTAAGGGATTTGCAGCATACTAGGTTATCTCTAACACTTCCTAGCTTTTCTCGTAGTTTTATCTGTGTACAAGAGTTATAGCTATTACTGTAAATTAGCAATCATTCAAGAAGTTAATTTAAAATTAAAACCACAACCAGTTTCACTCAATATTCAGAAATCAGTAAAAACCTAAGGAGAGTTTCAGTTAAACGGAGTGTGAGTTCCTCTGAGACTGGTGACTCACAATAGGGTGATCATAGAGTTGGGTAATCACAAGAGTAACAGATAGGCCACTGGGCGTCATTATTTGAGTTGCCTAGGGCCTAGGCAAAGATCTCATCTATTGACCTTTAGAGTAGGGAACCTACTATGTGTGGAAACTGTGTAATGAAAAGTGGCTTCTATTTTTGATAATTTCCTTTTACTCCCTGTTTCCCCTCTTTCCTGTCTCCATGTCTATGTAGGCCCAGAGTCCTCATGTTCCTCTGTAGTTGTCCCTTGCTTACACTGAAATGCCACACCCAACCCTGTCCTAAAACACGGTGCCTCCTTTTCTGCAACCACTTTATGTCTTTGCTTTGGAGCTACCCACATGTGTTTCTTTAACACCCCACATAGTGCTGTGAAAAAAGCAAGCGGGTTGAAATAAGTCAGCGGGATGCTGTCTTTGCTGAATTCTGACATTTGCTGTGTGAGCTCTAGGAACTGCGCTCACCCAGGGAAACCCAGAGGATCTAAGTGATTGCTCAGTGTGACTCCATCTGTCTGGTCACTCATCAAATCCTGACGTACTCTCCTGTCTCCAATTAAAGCTGCTTTAAGTTGTAGACTACAGAGCTACATACCCTCCATGTTTCTTCTACCAACATCAGCTTGTATAAACAAATAAATAGGATACTAAGCAGATCTCATACACACACACACACACACACACATGCACGCACCGGCACACACTCACACGCACACATGGAGAAAAAGTATAAAGGGGCTTCCATATGAAATTCTCATAGATTCCGAGGTCGCATGCCCCCAAACCAGGAAGGAGTCTCCCAGTATCTACTCCAGAGCCTCCCTCATTCTTTACTACGGTGTTTGGACCTGGCTGAAACTGGAGGGGTATGATAAAAATACTGCTGCTCAAAGTGTTATCACATTCCTGAGTCAGCCGGTATTTACGGAGTACCTGAGTAAGGCAAGGACTTGGGAGTGTGTCAGTGTGTATAGAGAGCAGCATGTGTCAAATTCTTTGTAGAAATTTCTCGTTCTGGTGCCATCCCCTGAGGAAAATCATAGTAACAATTGAGGTTGTTCATAAAAGACACAAATCTGAAAGTCATTAAAGTCAGGCAAATTGGCAAACATTCAATGAATGTACTAGAAAATGAACTAGAAATTTGGTACACCATTTTCAAATAACACTAAAATTGTAGCACGAAAATTACACTAATATATCAAAGTTGCATATGTGCCCTATGCATAAGAAGCTCACCTGGGTTTTACAAACATTCAGTGAGTGTGTGTGTGTGTGTGTGTGTGTGTGTGTGTGTGTGTGTGTGTAACTATAAACATACCTAGTATGAGATTTGGAAATTCACATGAGAAGGATGCCTGTGGATTTTAGACGGGCTGTGTGCACTCTTCTTTTTTAAAATTTTATTAATTTATTTTTTACATTCCAATCTAGTTCCTCCTCCTTCCTCCCCACCCCTGCCCCCCCCCACCTCTCCTCTGCTCCTCAGAGAGAGTAAGTTCTCCCCTAGGGAGTCTACTAAGTCTGTCCCATCATCTCATTGAAGCAAAACCAAGAAACCTCTCTCTTATCCATACTTTCCATCATACCTTTTCTCCGATGAGTGTGTCCCAGCCGTTTGTGCAGCATGAACTACTTCAGAGTAGGGGTACAGATTTCATCTTCAGATGACCACAGATAAGATTCTGTACAGTGAAACCCTTTACGCCTATGAACTGGGAGCTGTACTGGTGGCTCTTAGAGACTACAGAGTGGACACATTTACTTTTCCATCCTTCTCAGGCCAGCTGTAATTATAAAGGCATTACTGACTTCCAATGTGGGCAGTGATAATTTGCAATAAGATGACCATTTTAAAATTATGTTTTCCTCAGTATGAATTAAGGTCCTGAGTGCATCTTATATTTACAATTATATAAAGGAAATATGTCCCATAAATGTCCAGCAGTGTTATTTGAAGGCAGTAGATATTTGTATAATGATGAGTTCTTCTCCTGAATTTGAGTGAAAATATCTCACCCCAGACCCATCTTCTCTTTTGCAGTGAACCCCACGCTCGCTTCTACGCAGCTCAGATTGTGCTAACGTTTGAGTACCTCCACTCCCTGGACCTCATCTACAGAGATCTCAAGCCTGAGAACCTCTTAATTGACCACCAGGGTTACATCCAGGTAGGACTGGAACGCTGCATGGATGTCCTGAGGAATATCTTCACACATTTCACCTCAACTGTTATGACGGGCTTCACTAGTTTTGTTGTCCAAGGGAAAAAGTTGTCTCTATCCAGAAGGCTCAGAGTGGGTTCATAGGTCTGCCGCTACAGAGCAGTAAGCATCACGTCAAGGAGGGACCTGTGTCTTTCTCCTAGAGATGGACTCCTGCAAAAGGAGCAGTTTAGCTAAACGGGGAGTAGTGATGAATGCCAGGAACCCCCGAGTGTGCAGGCTGAGCAGCCCTCAGTCAGAAAATCCACATGAAAGATTCCAGTGCGAAGCCCTTTGGTGTGCTGATAGGACACCAAAGTGAAAAGCCCCTCCGGTGACTGGATGCGGCTTCACGGCACTCTCAAGGGGGTGTGCCCTGAAGACATCTTTGCAATTCCTCCCGGCTGTGGCTGAAAGGAGCCTAAGAAGCGTGAGATTTTGTGTCTGGACTCTCACCAGGGTCTCTCCCTGTGCATTTGATTGATTGATAGATAGATAGATAGATAGATAGATAGATAGATAGATAGATAGATAGATAGATAGATAGATAGATGGGAAAAAACATGGTAAAAGCAAACCCTTTGGTTCCAAGTATTTTGGATATGGGGTACTCAGCCTGCATTGTCTCTTAATATTAACAACCTTGTGAATTGTAAATATTCTTCTTGTCACCATTTTAAAGCTGATAAGACTCGGTCACAGTCAGGAGTGGAAGAATTAGAATTTTAACCCAGACAGTCTAGTCCCCGAGTCCAGGCACTTTACCCCTCAAATATGTGGCGGATGAGACCTAACTTCAGACTGCAGTTGGTGGCTGTGTCCCCTCCAGTTCTGTTAATAGCACAGGGCCGTGGCTTTCCGTGGCCTTCTTGGCAGAGACAGGTCCACAGAGCCTTTTCCTGGTGATACACTTTACGCCAGAGACGTTGGGCTTGAGGGGTATTTTCCTCAGCGCTTACTCCACAGTACCTTCCTTTTTCACTTTTTAATTACTTACATCTGTCACCTGTCACCCTACATTTATTTACTGTTTGGAGAAGAGTTTTGTAGCCTTGCTGTTCTGATCTTCATTCACTAAATAGTTGCCTGCGTGAATTACTCTCAATCACATTGGCTCCTTTTCCCCCCATGGATTTCATTGTCATCCTGAATTTTAGCTTTGAATGTTCTCTGTGAAGTGAGCGACGCTTCCATCCCTTTCACAGGTCACAGACTTTGGGTTCGCCAAGAGAGTGAAGGGCAGGACTTGGACACTGTGCGGCACTCCGGAGTACCTGGCCCCAGAGATCATCCTCAGCAAGGTACGGGCTGCCGCCCACAAAGCCCCTGTCAGGATTCTTCCCTGGCTGGCCAGTGCAGGAGGCCTTTTCTGGTGACAAGGGGGGGGGGTCAGTTCTCTCTTCTGTTCCAAGTCACCACCTAAGTGAAGGGGATGTCTGAAAGTTATTTTTAATCTTAGTTTCATAGCAATAATACAGCAACTAAATGTTTTTAGCCTTGCTGAAGCCTGAACTACATTGCAAATGGTAGAGTGAGGTGCTAGTACATTTACATTTAATATAACAAATGTAGCCACACCTAAAAGGATGTTTACATTTTCCCTTTCTTCTCTGGATGGCAAAAGCAGGAAGGGGAAGTGAAAAGGCCGAGCTCAGAGGAGCAACTGAGGAGAAGAGACACGGCCTAATGCGCTGTAGACTTCCTAAGTTAGCTTCTCAGCCTTACAGTCTGACTAACCAATCTTTAAAAATTCATAAGCATCATTGTTGGAAACGTTACACATTTCTCCCTTTCCTGCACTTATAATGTGACCACAAAATAAGAATGGAAACCTGTACACGTGTACACACTAGAGTACACGAATGCTCATTGCACAAAATTTGGAGATTGTAGAAAAGTGAAGAAACCAAAAATCCTGGAGTCCTAGCACCCCAAAGACAGTTTTTAAGAAAAGACATTTTATACGTTTTTCTAATATGAGTTTAAGATGAAATCATGGTGAATGTATACTTTGTGTATGGGTTTTTAATGCTAACATTCCTGCACACATGGCTGTGCACGTGTGTGTTGCTAATGCATGTGTGCAAATGTACCATAAAGTAGTTAGTCACGCTTCTGTTGTTGGCTGTTTACATTGTCCTGTTGTTCTGTTGTTTGTTGTTTCTGATATTTTATATATAGTAAAGTTTTCCTATATTTTCAGAAGTGGAATGTGTTTAAGGCCCTTGATATAAATTACCAAGTTGCTGTCTAATAAGATTGCAGCGTTTTACCACTTAACCAGGAGTGTGTGTTATTTTACTCCATCCTTTCCAGGCTTAAGACTGTTCATTTAAAAGACAGTAAATGGTATCTCATTGCTATATTTGATTATGAGTTATATTTTCAAATATGTAATTACCACTTAGTTTTTCTTTATATGTATATATAAATCGAATTCTGAGTATATGTCCTTTGCTATCTATGTATAGTGTTTTTATTAATGATTTTTTAAAATCTCTGTTTAAACACTCCACAGAATGTAAAACATACGTTAAAGTGAGCACTTGATCCCATTCCTATTAGTAAGATGTCGTTCTGCTTATTACAAACCTCCTTTAAAACATATAATCAGGAAAGAAGGAAATCTCCGTATTGTATTGTATTTTACCTGGTGGTTAGAAAGCTAAATGATTAGTAAAGCTAACATCTTGACAAAAAGGTGGAATGTGAGATTGTTGTTTTTTTCCCACATAGTCTTAGTTGATACAGATCATGACTGATAGCAAACTTAATGTAAATGTATTAATATAAACATTATCAATAGGTATCCTCTTACAAAGTGTTCTGCATGTGTATTTTAGTAAGCTTGTTATAAAAAAAAAAAAAAAATATGCCAGATGAAATAGATGAGAACCTGGCTTGTATTTGGCTCCAGTGTATTTTTTAAACATGCCTTTCTTTTGATATGGTATTCACAAAACCTTATGCATGAGCTCTCCTTCCTGTGCCTTCAGGGGATGAGACACTGAACACAAAGAGCAAACATCGTGCATGGAGGGTAATAGTGGTCAGAGGACACTTCAGCTTTACTTTTCAAAAGATACTGAAATAGACATGATTATCTTGAGTATTTTCACCTTCCCAGGTCCGAGAATATGGGCTGTTCCGAAGTCAGTTCATCATGTGTTGTTCCAGTAATGCAATTTTGTTTTGCTTTCTAGCTATGCTGTTGCAAACATAATGCATAGGTAATGGCTTAGGATGGGCCTCCAGAGGTGATTTCTGCCATTGACTAGCAGCAAAAGTCTCCCACTGAAACGGAAGAGGTTTCACGCTCAGTGTTAGTCTCAGTGATTTGAGGAACATGATTTAACAGTCCTTCCCAAAATCAAACTCCGGTATCTGGAAATTGCTTCATTTAATTAAACCTGCCCTGATAGGCTTTGTTAGCTTCCCATATTCCTTTTTTCACAGCTAAGCGCTGTGGTTGTGTTCATACATTTCCGGATCATTTTGAGATTGTCATTTTCCTGAGTAACTTGCCTGGTGATCAGCACTGCTGCTCCTTTGTTTCAGGGCTACAATAAGGCAGTGGACTGGTGGGCACTGGGGGTGCTGATCTACGAGATGGCCGCTGGCTACCCCCCCTTCTTTGCAGACCAGCCAATCCAGATTTATGAGAAGATCGTCTCTGGCAAGGTGAGTGATGCGCCCGGTTAGTCCTTTCTTCCCCTTCGTCTGGTGTGGGTTAAAGTTGGCAGATAGAACCCTTGTCGGGCATGAGCTGCTCCCCTCTGTGTTGACATCTTTAGGTAGAGAGCTGTTGCTCAAACATGTCAACAGGGTACTAAGGCAGCTTCCACTTTCAGGGTTTTGGTTTGTTGAGTAAAGATTGTAACTATTCACAGTAATCCTATAAATCACAATTTTGATCTCATGGATTTGTGCTTGGGGAACAGTTTTAGGGACTGCTTTTATGTAACTGTTCTTTTTGAATTACATCAAAAGTGAAAATAAAGTAGATGGGCCTTTTCTGAGAAGAATTTACAGAATTGATTTTAACAGAATTGCTTATGTTTAATGCAGTTATAATTGGTGCCGAATTTTAGCAAACAGGAAATAACAATTATCCTTGACCGTGAGTGAACTGAGCGTGTGACACTGGTAAATTATCCCATTAACTCTGCTTTTGCACTTTTAGTCTCTGAACGCCAGTCTCCTGCCTTAGCTCATGTTGTACTCTTTTCTGAGATGTAGTGGTGTCATTGGGAAGGAAAGCACGGCTTTTGGAGCTTTGGGGCTGGAGAGAGTGCTCCCAAGGTAAAGGTGTCTTCTCTAAGCGAAAGGCGAAGCCAGCTCCTGCAGGCTGTCCCAGCTCCTGCACACTCTCCCAGCTCCTGCAGACTGTCCTCTGAGCCACACTTCTTGCTCTCATTGATGATATATACCACACCCTTTAACTTGTCCTTTGTGTTTTGTGAAGAGTGCCACCAAGGAATGGACTTAAGTAGCATTTCCCTGAGACAGGTGCACTTCCCTTTTTGGTTGTTGTACTTTATGACCTTCTTAGGTAAAGATAAATCTTAGGTAGAGAAGTGAGGTCTCCATTTATTTCTACCTCAACCAGATTCATACTCTGAATGCTTGTTAAGCTGAGCTCAGTATCCATGAATTTAAATTTTATAGTGTTAAATATTCACAACTTACCATGGATAGCCAATAACATAATAATTTAACCTTGATGCTAGGATCCAGATTTAAATTGTAGATGTTCTACCATGAGGCTGCTCGAAAAGACACTTATTAGTAACTGTCTGTCCATCCATTGAGGGTTCCTGGTCCACGTGGCAGTGTTACTCCAAATCTCACAATGTATGTGCCTTGTAGGAAGGTCTTGAGATTTTGTTCCTTATATTTTATTACATTTTCTGGGGAGGCTTTGATATTAGATTAATATTCACAAATTAGAGGGCTAGCCATAGACATTAAATTTGTGACAGGTGAAAAGCAAACACCTCCTGCTTATAAATGAACTGACATGATGTCTGAGGGTGGACACTGGGAAGGGCATACAGGAGAATGGAATGCAGTCTTTATTCCTAGTGAGAAAAATCTCTGCTGTTCTCGTTACATTGTAGATCTGTACTTCAGGTTTCTTACCTTTGTGATTGTTTTCCCTAGCATAATTTATAACAAGAACTATGGATATGCATAAAATAAACCATGGCACAAAAATTTAGTAGTGGCGGTAATTTTGTTTTTAAGAACATGGCCTGGAGAGCTGGCTTGATGCTCTTGCTAAGGTCCAGGGTTTGGTTCCAGCATCCACATGGCAGCTTACAGCATCTGGAAACTCAAGTTCTGTGGGGATCTGCTCCCCTGGCCTCCACAGGCTTCTGTACTCACATGATACACATAAACTCATGCAGACACACACACACACACATTCATAAAAATAATCAATAAATAGTAAATTTTAAAAAGAAAGTAAGAAGTGAATACTTAAATTTTAAAAGAGAATAAGAACCAAAGGTCATATGAGACATAACAAGAAAATATATTAAAGCTGTAACAGGAGAATATTTTTTAATGCAAAGTAGAAATGTAGAAATTAAAGGAATGTTTCAAATAATTTAACTAGAAGTAACTAGAAAGCTCCTGAGCCTTTTCCATACTACTTTTATACCTCTTCATAAAAGAAATCAAATTATAATGAAGATGCTGCATAAGCTAAATTTATGTTTACTTAGGATAACGGCTTTAGTTAAAATAAGTGCATCTCTCCTGGTATGAATAGCCTCAGCTTGACTTGGGCAACATTTTTTCAGCTGTTTGTGAATGTTTTTAACTTCATGTCCAATTTAATATTTTGTATCCAATAACTTAATATCTTCTAAAGCTATAACCATTTAAAATATGATCACACTGTTTTAAAAGCATGAACTATATCACACCACAATGGGAATGGTTTTCATTTTTTTATTATTTTATTTTTATTTTACATATCGATCCCAGTTCCCTCTCCCTCCATCCCTCTTTCCCTCTCTATCCCCTCCCATGCACCCCAACCACCCTCCCCTCCCATCCCCCCCCCACTCCACATGTAGGGTTATGCCCTATAGGAAGGGTCATATAAATCTGTCAAGTCATTTGGAGTAGGGACTAGACCCTCTCTCCTGTCTCTAGGTTTAGGGAATATCCCCCCCATGGGGGATGTGCCCCCAAAATCCTTTTGTGCACCAGGGATACATCCTGGTTCCACTGTGTGAGGACCCTTAGACTGCTCAGTCCTTCTGGCTGGGACACATGTTCAGGGTGTCTGAGTCAGTCCCATGCTGGATTCCCAGCTGTCAGTCTGGGGGCCTGTTAGCTCCTCTTTGTTCAGGTCAGCTGTCTCTGTGTGATTCTGCGGTGTGGTCTTGTCCTCTCCATCTGTATCTGGGTTCTAAGTCGACTCAGTGTTTAGTTGTGGGTATCTGCTTCTGTTTCCAACAGGTACTAGATGAGAGCTCCATGATGGTGGATAAGTTAGTTGATATTATTATCAGGGAAGGGCACTTATGGTAGCCTTTCCACTGTTGCTCAAATTGTTTGTTGGAGTCAGTCTTGTAGCTCTCTGAACATTTCATCAGGTTCAGTTTTCTCCTCAATCCTATAATGCTTCCCTCTTTTATGTTCTTTCTATCTCTCTCTCTCTCTCTCTCTCTCTCTCTCTCTCTCTCTCTCTCTTCCTCTCTTTCTCCCTATCTCTCTTTTCTCTCTTCTATTTCTCCCCTGACTCAATCTTCCTAGTCCCACATGCTTTCCTCTCCTCCCCTTCTCTTTCTCCTAGCTCCCTCTACACACACTGCCCCCTCCCACTCCACATGTGCTGTGGAGAACTTGTCCCTTCCCCCTTCTGTGAGGGACTTTATATGAATCTCTTAGAATACACCTTGTATCCTAGTTCCTCTAGTGGTGTGAATTATAGGCTGATGATCCTTTGCTCTATGTCTAAACTCCATATATGAGCGAGTACACACCATGTTGCTCTTTTTGTGACTGGGTTATCTCACTGAGGATGGTTTCTTCAAGTGCTATCCACTTGCCTGCAAATTTCAAGATTCCATTGCCCCCCCACAGAGTAGTATTTCATTGTATAGATGTGCCATATCTTCTTTATCCATTCTTCACTTGAGGGGCATCTAGGTTGCTTCCAGGTTCTTGCTATTACAAATAATGTTGCTTCGAACATAATTGAGCACATGTCTTTGTTGCATGGATGTGGATCATTTAGGTATATGCCTAAGATGGGGTTTGCTGGGTCCTGTGGTAAACTAATTCCCATTTTCCTGAGGAATCACTATATTGATCTCCAAAATGGCTATACAAGTTTGAGCTCCCACCAGCAGTGGAGGAGTGTTCCCCCTTTCTCCACATCCTCTCCAGCATAAGTTGTCATTGGTGTTTGTAATTTTAGCCATTCTGGCAGGAGTAAGATGGTATCTCAAAGTTGTTTTGATTTGCTTTTTCCTGATAGCTAAGGATATTGAGCACTTTCTTAAATGTCTTTCAGACTTTTTAATTTCCTCTATTGAGAATTCTCTCTTTAGTTCTGTACCCCATGTTTTAATAGGGTTATTTGTGTTTTTTTTTTTTTTTTTTTTTTTTTTTTTTTTTTTTTGGTGACTAGTTTCTTGTGTTCTTTGTAAATTTTGGAGATCTGTCATATGTAGAATTGGTAATAATCTTCCCAGTTGGTGGGCTGCCATTTGGTCTTGTCAACTGCGTCCTTTGCCTTACAGAAACTTCTAAGTTTGAGGAGGTCCCATTTATTAATTGTTGATCTCAGTGTCTGTGCTACTGCAGTTATGTTCAGGAAGCGGTCTCCTATACCAATTTGTTCAAGAGAACTCCCACTTTCTCTTCTAAGAGGTTCAGTGTGGCTAGATTTATGTCCATTTAGACTTGAGATTTGTGCATAGTGATAGACATGGTCTATCTGCAGTCTTCTACACACTATCATCCAGTTGTGCCACCACCATTTGTTGAAGATGCTTTCCTCTTTCCATTGTATACTTTTAGCTGTTTTGTCAAAAATCAGGTGTTCATAGGTGTGTGAGTTAATATCAGGATTTTCGATACGATTCCATTGGTCTACCTGTCTACTTTTGTCCCAATACCAGGTTGTTTTCAGAACTATAGCCCTGTAGAAGAGCTTAAAGTCAGGGATGGTGATGCCTTCTGAAATTCTTTTATTGTACAGGGTTATTTTTGCTATCCTGGGTCTTTTGTTTTTCTGTATGAAATTGATTATTATCCTTTCAAGGTCAGTGAAGAATTGTGCTGGGATTTTAATGGGGATTGCATTGAATATATACCTTGCTTTCGGCAAGATTGCCATTTTATCCTACCTATCCAAGAGCATGGGAGATCTTTCCATTTCCTGGTATCTTCTTTAATGTCTTTCTTTAAAGACACGAAGTTCTTAATATATAGGTCTCTCACTTGTTTGGTAAGCATTACCCCAAGATACTTTATGTTGTTTGTGGCTATTGTAAAGGGTGATGTTTCTCTGATTTCTTTCTCAGCCCCTTTGTCGTCTGAATAAATTAGGGCTACTGATTTTTTTGAGTTTATCTTGTATCCTGCTAGTTTGCTGAAGGTGTTTATCAGCTGTAGGAGTTCCTTGGTAGAGTTTTTTGGGTCGCTTATGTAAA